TGTCGTTTTATGCTGTAGTATTTATAAAGTACACTATTCATTCAAAGTGGTCGATTAACCTAGACGTCACACCCATGTCTTTCTTTACCTACTGCCACACTACTCTGCTAATAAAATCGATCGATGTTCCACATTTTAAAGTAAACTCTCAAATCTCTTATCAAAATTGTGATTTTAAATGCCGGAAGACTTCGATATAGAATTTTCTACGATATGAATATTAGTAATTGAAACATTATCTTATCAATGTATTAGGTTTATAAGATAATCGTATACACTATCATTAATAATCAGTTGATAATGTCAATAAGACTTTTATTAAATCAGAATATCACAAGTCTAAATATAATACTTTACTGCAGAATTTAATTTGGTTTTATAAAAAAAAAAAAAAAGGTTAATATATAAAATACAGAATTTCTCTTAAAAACTGCTGCTGAAAGGTTTAAAAAGTTATCGATTCTACCTTGTTCCATGTCTCAAATCGTACAGAAGCACGTAATAGACTATTTATAACGACAAATTGCATTTATATCATATAAACAAATGAATCGATTGGCAAAACACTTTAAAAATTTTATGTTTATTCCTCTCAGAACATGTTCGTTTATTCCAATAATATATTGTAATTTCATTTGAAATGGCTAACTAAACTCTTTCGCTGAATACATATACATTTAAAGAGAAAGAGAAAAAAGATACAAGGAAAAAATTGTAGAAATCTAAATGATCGATCACAAAGATTTCAATATTTTTCTCTTAAACGAAACAAGTTTAATTAAATATGTCTTAGACTGATTATTTTCTGAAAGTTTCAACTAAAATGGGTTTAGATGATATCAAGAATTCTTTTGTCGTTAAACTAAATATGATATCAGAAGGAAGCCTTTCGAAAAATGATTTTTTTCCGGAAAAACACGTACTGTACATTTTCCGCATCTTTTTAATCTTTTTAATAAAAGTACTCACTAAACATATTTGGATAAATTAAGCCTCTTTAATCTGACCTTAAATTTTAACGTATATAGAACATATATACACAGAATTTTATTATGTAAATGCTAAATAAGATATTATATAAATATGGCAGCCTTCATTTACATACAGAGTACAGATTTTACATACTATATATATAAAACGGGAAAACTTTAAAAGCTTTTCGAAAGCGAGTTATATACTATTCAATTCGGGTATTTCTCCCCAGTAGTTCAAGACTTGTTATAAAAGGCTTTACAGATAATAAATTTCAATTAAGGAAGTGTTTTTCCTTCTGTAACCAGAATTCAGTATGTAGTTGTAATCTGTTAATTCACCCATCCTAATTATCTTCACCACTATGAAATAACGACAATACGGTTAATATTACAATAACTTCACTCTACTAAATAAATATTCCTCAAATATTGGTATATAGTTCTATAAGTAACTGTGGAAATTCATTTTCCGAAATAAATACTATGTGTACTTTTACATTAATAATAAAATTTTATTACTAGACTTAATCCAAATTAATCCAAAGTGATTCTAACTAGAGATGGGAGTATTCGAATGCAAAAATTATGAACTAGTCTATTGCAAAAAGTTTTCCTTGTTCCTAAGAATTTGTGCTGGTATTAAAATATGAACTCATACGACAACGAACCAGCCAATTGGAAATTCAAATTCTAGTGTCCGACTCTGCTGTCGGAAATTCTAATCGCATTACAGAGTACAGGGACCAAGTTATCCTGTAATCTGGCTTCTCTAAAAATTTTAATACTCTAATTAGTAGTTTATTTCAATCTCCGTAATTATAAACATGTGAATCAACTTGTTCTCCAATACTCGTTATTAGTTAGTACTCAGTACAAAGCAAATTGGCAGCACTGTTACCTAATTCTCATTGTACGAATTACATGCGTAGCTTGTTCTCGAGAACTCATTAGATTCTTAAACATTCTCGTTTCTTCAAAGTATTTGATTCGGTCCCTGGTTAACTCCAACAAAGACTGAGTCCGTATGTTCCCTTTTCACGTAACCTTCGTTTCTCTGACAAGGTTCGAAATTATTCTTGGAATACAGTTTGTCTTGCTCTGCAATAATGGTTAACTCACCTGGAAACTATGCTACTTATTTATTTACAAGAGATTTTAATTTTCCACAGGTTAAATTACATTTTTCGTATCCAAAATTCTCTTGGACAGGCTTCCAGTTTCTAGCAAAGATTTAACATAGAAAATCGTTCAATTCTGAAGATTTCGTTTTATTCGTTTTATTTTACACATATTTTACTGTACTATATTTTGGACCTTTCACAAAAAAAAATATGAAATGCTTCTATTTCATCTTTAATCTAATTCATTTCATCTACAACTGCACATTAAAACATTAACTTTTAAGGCGTTAACAAATTCTAATGACAAACAACTCCATAATTCTATAATAATAAAATATTTTTTCTTCTAACATTTGTAACCACAGCATAAAAAAATTATCACTAAGAAATATGCTATGTTCATTTAAAACATTTCAGTTGACAGTAAACTTTAGAAAAACTTCAATTAACCTCTAATACATATTATATGATATAAAATACAATAAAAAGTTAAAACTTTTATTCTTTAATTTTAAAGATTATATCAAATAATGTTTTCCTTTCTTCGTGGTAAAATGCTTAAATTATCAACTTTTAAATATAAAAATCATCTATTAAATAAAATAGAAGTTCCTCGACATACGTTTATTTATTCATTCATTTTCGTATTCTTTTGACAGCGTTAGGTTATATATAAACATTGAGAATTAAATAATTTTAACGGTTATAACATTAATTTAAAAAGCTATCAATTTAAAAATAAAATTATTCTATTCAAATGGTGCAAAATAATTCATCTATATATCCAGAATTATCAGTAATATCTATGTTTATTCAATGTAATATAACAAACAAGTCAATTCTATCAACATATCCCACTAGATTCGTAAACTGTTTATAAATCACAATATTACCTTTAAATTTCATACAATTATAATTCAAAATGATGGAGAGAAATTACTAATTAACTCATACATAATTAACATTTGGCCAATTCTTTAATTCAAATTTACATTTTTAACACACATTTGCTTTTTAAAAAATCTTAAATTTTTAATAGTAATTTATAATTATACAGTGTTTAAATTTTTAAATCTAATTGATCGTAACTCTATCATTTCAAGACTATTAAAGATAACGTTGAAAGTATAAAAAAAGGAATAAAGTGTAACCTTCAAATCTTTATCTTCGTTCATAAAAAGAAAAGAAATCGATGCTCTACAACCCACGCAACATTGGCCTACCCAAAAATTTATTCAAGTAGAGAAACGCATTGAATCAGAACAATCAAAACGATAATTTTGGATAAGAAAGTCCCTTCGATCCATTTCACAAAGTGATAGATCACCAACCACGCCCATCAACCTCCTTACTCAAAGAAAAAAAAAAAAGAATATAGGTCAGTATCGATTAGTAACGTTTTCCCAAAAAGAATGCGCCAAATCTTTTCGAATAATTAAACATTACCGAGATTCTATACATAAAACTCTAGAATCTTAACATTATTAAATAATTTATCGATTAATTCAAACGATATTTTATATTTTCTCAGCATATTTATCTATTCATCTCTAAACAATTTTGTGTGATTTATTAAAATTTTTAAAAGTAATATATACCAAATTTTATTCAATCGAGAAAGTATTTTAATTATTACCGTTAAATTTAAATTATTTTCAATAAAATTCCAGAATATATTAATATATTAATTGGTTTACTTATGATTACAAACTAAATTCCGTTTTCGTGTTTAAATTACTGACTGAATGACTTGAACGACTTTTTAATTTAGAAAAAAATCGTTCAAGCCTTAAATACATAAATTACGATAATGTATGAGTAAGAACATTATTATTTTGTAAATGGCATTTTTTTGAAAAGACATCCATCATTGTTATGAAACATTCTAACGGCGATTAATTTTTGGTGGTTCATTTCGTGTATACGAAAGAAAACTCGGTTAAATTCAATTTTTACATAGAACATTATAAATTTTACCTGTATACAATACTGAAACAAAAATTCTGTATTATAAACTGACTAAATTTTATTTTTATCAGTGAGAAGGAAAAAGTAAAGTATGGCAATATGTTCAGATGTAACAATATTATTCATGAAAGTTTATATATTTACTTATATAATAAAAACTTAATATATACTGTATTAGTATATTTTACAATGTTTTCATATCGAATATGAAATCGTGTCATGTGAATACAAATTGTTATAAAAAATATTGACGTTGATTAATAAATAACTGCACTGATTATTTTTTAAATTGCGTTGGTTACTATAGATAAATTTATCACGTAACAATGGATTTACAGTAATAAATATGCTTCTAATGAAAAATTTATATCTTGTAGAAATTTCTAATTTATTTTAATTTCTTTTCTTCCAAGCAAATGAAATATGCAGCACATATCTGAACAATAGTGAAATTTTTATATAGTATAAAACACAATTTGGTTTACTAACTGTATCACAAAATACTCTGTTACTTGTTATGAGGCAAGATCTTCAAGCATTCTTAGCTATTTAAATTACTGAATCATCAAACATTTTAATTATATTTATATAATCTTTAATATATATCTTATGTATCTTAATCTTAGATTAAGTTCTATTTTAACATAAGTACCAGCTTAAATAAACTTAACTTCAAAAGATTAAGATTATTCAAAACCTATTTAATACAAGTTTATTATTAATTCTCACAGGAGAAACCCCCGGATAATAAAATTTTTATATTATTATATAAATATTTGAAGGTATTCTATAAATCTAAAAATATGTTTTCTCAGGGACTTTGAAAAAATATATACATGTATATATTAGATAAGCGTACAACATATAATGTTAGTGTAGTTTAAATATCCGAAAATGATCAGTATGATAAAGAGAATACAGGTAAATGTTAACGTACCTTGACTGGTAACTGGAGGTCCTATATCAATTTCCGGAGGTCACCCGTGACCACTCTTGGATGACGCCGAGGCTTCAGGAGCGACGCTAAAGAAGTGCGCCATGAATCTGTAACAGGAAGACACGAATATGAATGTCTGGACCATCAGGTGAGTCAGAAGGAGGGTGTGGCCTTCTTCCCAGTAGGTGAACTTCCTAGCAAGAGAGAATGCTTTACGCGGAAAAAAGCGTTTACTCCGAATACCTATCGTCGCATTAATAATCGAATCGCGATTTTAAAAATCGTTAGTTTACACTCTCGTTCTTTAAAAATTCCATCGTTTAGTTATCCTTGTAAACCATTCTATTACTCGCTATCGCCACAAGCCATCCACTGAGGTACTGGCCACCTGTTCAAAGTAGATCGATATAACGAAATTATGTCACGTGAGCTCTGCATCTGCACGATACATCGAGCAGGCGAGGCGCGCTTATAAACACTGTCACTTCTGTGATTGTTTTTTTTTTAATCTCTACTTATCCAGCTAATATATTCAATGTTAAATACTAGGAACAAAATATTGACATTTTTAACGATTTTTGCACCCATCTAACAATCACAAACTGCACCACGAATGAATAATGAGTGGCAATCCAACAAAAATTGTCAAAATGTATTGTACTAAAATAAAATAATATTAAATTAATTACATAAATTTTATTTTAAATCTATATTTAGAAGTTAAATACTAATCAACAATTAAAAGGAAAAAAAATTCTAAGGATTAAGTACACTTAAGAAAAAGCGTATTTTAAAGATTAAATTTTTATTATGACTTCAAATAAATTAATTAAATTAAGGAGAAACAATAATCGGAGGAACAATTTTCACGGAATCTCTGAAAATGTAATTACATAGGAAGATTTGTTGAATATCCAAATCTTATTCGTTTATTTTCGGGTAATCAAATTACTTTAGTTTTAGATAAGTTTACATATTTAAAAATTTTAAATTTTGAGAATTAATTTATAAAGCAGAAATGAGATTGTCTGTATTTAATAATGATTATCTATTTAATTGACACTAAACATATTCATAAAATATTGTTTTATATATTAATCGTTAGCATTTTTACTTTTCCTCTGTTATATAACAGCAGGAAAATATGACAACCGGTCAAAAAAATGACCCACTCTACAAGATTTTTACATTTTTGGACTCAGAGGACTTTGAAACGTCGAGAAATGCAAAATGAGTTAGGGTATTTTCTATATGTATGGATGTTAGTATGTGTGGATATGATTTTTTCGCCACTTTGAAGCTTAACTCCTGTGCCTTTTGTTGAAAATTTCTGAAATTTTGCAGGAAAGTTTGTGTTTGGGGAAATGCTTCTAGAAATTTTTAGGAAAATCGGACCATTTGTTCGGGTGATATTAAGAGGGTGGGGATATATCTCTCGAACCAATCTGAAGACTTGAAATGGTAACAATTATTAAGATGAAAACAAAGAATGCCGGGAAAGTTCAGCCACAACGTTGCCAGATTTTTTAATTATGCGATTTGATCATTCAACAATTATTATTCTAGACATTGTTATAAGTTACGGAAGAAATACCAATGCGGATGAGCTTGAAGTGAGATTCCGTTCACTACCAACATTTTTTTTTTTTATCAATATTAGCTAAAATGAAGCTATCATCGTCAACAATATGATTGATTATTCTTTTTCGTGATTGCAATCTTCGAACGTCTTCCGCATACAGAAATCTTTAATACTACACTATTGCCCAGAAGCAGAAATCCAGATCAAATAAATGATACTCCTACACCCAACGAAGCAAGACTAAAGAATTTATTTGAAAAACTTAGTTTTCTTAAACATCAATTATAACAACTTCATACTCCAAAATGCATCATGTAAAACCTAAAATCCATAAAAAAAATTTCTTAAAACTTTAAGAAAACTTAATTTTATTGCACATAAAATTTTTTATTTAAGTTTTCCCCTGTATTGAAGATAATAGAAAAAAAAAACATTTCTCTAAACTTTACAGGTAATCGCGTATAAAGTGGATTCCCCGCTTTACGACTGCTGGCTTTACAAGTATGTTATGAATACAGACAGTATGCGAAATGCCGTATTTTAATGCAACATTTGGTCTTCTTTGTTTAGTATTATATAATTAAAACTGTATTTTATATACGGTACATAACATCAACTTATGACATTGAGTTTATGAGAAATAGAATGGCTCGCTTTACGACGGTTTCGCAAGAACCAATTAGGAAGTCAAATTGAATATAACGAAACACGTTCTTATAATTATAATTAATTCGAATACCTTAATTAATAAATAAATTAATTAAATTAAGGAGAAACAATAATCGGAGGAACAATTTTCACGGAATCTCTGAAAATNCATAAAAAATGAAGTACGAATAATCTGTATCACGCTTTTTATCGCCTCTCGTTAAGGTGAGCATTTCATGATAAATTCAAAAATCAAGTAACTGCGGCAAACTAAATGCGAAAATCCGTAAAATTCTAAGAAATCGTCCTATAGCGTGCAACTTCGACGACCTTGAAAGTAATACGACTATGACTCCGAAGATAAAGAAACAATTCGATTCTAATATGATGTTGATTAATGGGAAAATATTAAAATCGATAAAACATTCTCCAGATGAATTAATTCATTAGAAAACTTCCTACCTTCAATAAAAAAATTTTTAAATTATGTATTAAAAATATGACGTTAAAGTTAAAGAAAATAAAATAAAACGATGTATCATTTTTTCGTTACATTCATATTCAGTTCAAAATATTTGTTTACATGATTTTTTACTACTCAAATTTTCCAAGTTTTTAAGCTAATATTTATTCTTATAATGTGTGAATTAGAAAATGAAATATTCTCCAAATAATAAAACAGGTTATCAAAGGTGTGATTAGTACACGTTCATTCATTCACATACAGTAAATGAAAAGATAAGATTGCAAAAAGCTAGTTTTAATTCCAATTTAAAACCAGCTTAACTATTAAAAAACTTAGTCTATTCTACATTAAAATGTAGTAGTCCCTGTTTATAAAAACATGAAACGTCCAATTAGGGATTATTTGACTATTTTTTTATAAAGGTGNCTTCAATAAAAAAATTTTTAAATGATCGATCTAATAAATTAAATTCTATCGAAAAGAGTTAAACCTTAACTCATTAAAAAAATAATAATAATTTAATTTTCTTAACATTAACATAATTTCGAATGTAATCCTGTTAATAAAATTATCATCATTGTAATTATAAATACATTCGAATCCGAGAATATACGATTGTTAGAGTAGGTCTGAATATCGTAGTTACGTTCAAACTTGTGTGCGCTCTCTATAAAACGTTTAAGCTACAAATATATAAAATTTATGCCATTCAGTTTTTACTACTTGTCTATTATTATATATTTTTATTTTATTGCTTATATGTTACTCAACTAAACAGTTAACAGCAGCAATCTCAAGCAATTAATCACGCAATAATTATCAACAAATTTTTATATTAATACAAAGATTACTTTTTATATTTCATTCAATAAGCGATAAATAGATATACTGTATTATCTATCTAAAACGTTGTGTCATAAAAATGACAATATATGATATAAAGAAAAACAAAACGTAAAATTATCATATTTAACAGTATTTCTTATTCTTAACTATTTAAAATTACTGTAGAATTTAAGTTATAAGTCTGCTTTAAGAAATTAATTTCATGATTTGCTGTTTAATCAAACTCAAATAATATAGATACGAAATTTAAAACTACAGAAAAATGAATTGAAATAACATGACTTTCGGTTTGCATCGGAAGTTCTTATATAGTTAACCGGGGCCTCCTGTCCCTAAGGTTTCCATATCTGGTCTCGGATTTCATCTATTTGACTCCATTCTCGAGGTTAAGGAAAGATGGACAGACGGACGACAGTGGGAATTTATAGGTCTACAATTTTTTTCAAATTGCAGCCCAACCAGGAAAAAATTTAAGTGTCAATTATACTTTCCAATACGATTTAAAAACACTATATCAATGTTCTCGTCGGTTTTCATTAATTTTTCATAATGTTCAATAATTTCTAAACATTTAAAATACAAAAAGTTTATTTTAACTTTTACTATATCTTTTATAAAATATTCTGTGAACTGATTTAGTTTCTGTCGTCCTTTTAACCCAAAAGAAATTTCAATTTTGTCGCACTACGAACTCGTTTAAAGATTGTAGGAACTTTTTGATTTATTTAAATTTGGTATAAATTAATTATTACACATAATGGAGAACGTGTCAGGAATAAAAATTTTGATGACGACAATGTAGAGAAATTTATCCCAAGAGGATTTCAAAAAACTATTTGGGTTTATTAAACAAAAATTAATTCAGCGTATGTAAAAATCGTAAGAAGAAAATTAGAAATCAGATTCAACAAAATCACTATTTCCCATTGAATTCCATTTGGTGGAAACTGGCCTTTGGGGTAAAAACTGTGGTTTAACTAGCAGAGATTGCAGAGAATGATTTTGCCAATAGAAAAGTTCGTTTCTATAGTACGATTCGTTGACTTGGACAACAGCCAAATACCAGCTGACCTGAATGAATAAGTGGGGCGGATGATAGTAAAGTTCCAATTTTAAAACAAAACAAAAGGAATTTCCTGCATTTTAACGACTCTAAAATTATACAAATTAACAGAAACATGTTAAATATTTTTTTGAAAAAATAATCAAACATTAAATTAAGAAACAGAACATTATTAATTAATATGTTATTCGAACAAACATTATCTTAATCATAATAAATGTGATTTTAAAATGTGAAATATTACGTAATTATTGGTAAGCATTAAAAATTTATATGTATTATTGTCGGTTAATGAAAATTTATACGTAATTTCAGTATAATTAATTAATACTTTAGTAGATTATTCTTAATTCGAGTTTAAAATGAAGTACACTTACTTATTCTTTACGATAAATAAGCGTTTTCTTATAGAATAAACTGATAGCGTAGAAGTAGAAAAATTTTTAAATGAAAATAGAGTTGATGTAAGATTAAAGACGTTCGATATGGACTATATATAGTA